AAAAGGGATGATCACGTTCGACTGTTGATTTTTCTAAATGGACGCTGTTTTGAAGGATTTTCCTGAAAATGAAATTTTGCACTTCTCGACCAAAGAAGCGATCGAGGCTTATTTTTTCCAGACAGTTAAGGAAGCGGATCAGCTGAAACACAGGGGCGAAATCATCAGTAAGATGCAGAAGATGGAGCAGAAATCGATGTGGAACGCATTGTTAAATGGTAAGAAAATTAATTAACTGGGAAACTTTGCTGGCCTTCATTCTGGAGGCAGCCTCGTTGAAACACCGCTTTTTCGTGGAGCGAAACTAATAGAAAGTACAGTGCATCGAGGTGTTTCAGCAAACCCGTTAGCGGGTTGCCAATAACGTTTGATTTGAGTTTTGTTTAGCATTACTGAGAAACAGTCGACCGGTTTATACTAGGTTATTTCATCTGCTTTACGTTCCTTGAAATAAACATAGACGGTCGTTTAAAAAGGCTACGGTTGCACGGTGTTTTAATGTCTACAGTGCACAGGTGCACCTCGCATCAATATGTTGTTAACGGCAGTGTTGTGAGTGCAAGCGTGCATTCACCGTGTGATAGCTATTACGCAGTCCGCTGACGTAATTATGACTACCTTATTTTTGAGGTTTTCTTAACGAAAATGTTTTCCAGCACTTCAAGCTTTTGCCTCGAAAGAGATAATGGGCTAAAAATGAGTTAACTGTTTTGAAATATATGCCTCTTCGAAGAAGAGGTTGACTCTAGGTAGTAGAGTTCACTAGTTCGCTCGCTAGCCATCTAGCCTAAACCTGGAAATTGCACTTGTCGATTGAACTGACGGAAGTTTCGATCCAGGTAAAACTTTCTAAAATCCTAAATGGCCGACTTGAAACAAACAGCGACGTCAGTAGCCTACCTTGCAGATCGAGTGGGGTAAGTGGGCATATTACTGGATTAATCTTCTCCCCTGTCCAAAACAGACAGCGCAATAGTGAACAATGGTACGCACGAGAAAGTAGAATTCTCTTTTGCTTTCTCACCGTAAGCATTCCTGTTGCACGAACTTTGTGCCTGTGCGTCACTGGCACATGCAGTTTTCCTGAAGAACATTTCTAAACAGACCATCGCCTCCAACTGTCACTGGTCAGTTATGTCGTAGCCATGTCTATTATAATTCATTTATTATGCAGAAATTAACGAACAAGTAAATTTCTTTGACTATGCAAAATGAACCGTTTTTTGAAAAGCATCCAAATGTAGTAGCACTGAATTACAGTTGCATCTTTTTGTCACAGCTCGATGGTTACGTCGATGGAACTCGAGAAACGGCCGTATAATGTAAATTTTCTTTCTTGCTCGAGCACGTGCATGTTCTCCTTATGTTATTCAACATTACACACAGAGTCCACGTTGAACCAGTCTGTGTAGTCCGAGGGAAAAACACAAACGTCCTTTCATTCCTTTCCAATGTATTTCATTCGTTGCATAATCGTTTAAAGATGAAAGTGTGATATCATCTGTTGCTCGACTTCCCTATCCAAGTTCGCATTAATCTTCACCAGTATGTCGTTGGAAGGTAAGGGTTTCACTCAAACGTATGGCGAATAAATTGTACGAATGGAGTAGGCTAGCGGATTTGTTGACTCATTTTCGTACCTGCCATTCCTTTCAGATTGCGGGAATGGTTTTAAGTGTTTTTGATTCCTGACCGTTAAATCAACCGGTTGCACTGATTGGATTCTAAACTGAAAGACTGTCAGATTTTTTCCAGCACTTCTAACGAGAATTTGGAAAAGAATTACTTCTGCGAGAAACGGAAGTCTCCAAAAAGAAGTTTAAGAGGCTGGGCATTGGTTTCAAATAGATTTATAAGTCTTACTGAATGTAGATACATTTTTCATGTATTGTTTTGAACTTTAGTGCGTATTCACGGAGTGCGCGGCCACTGTAGAATTCAGAGCAAGATTCACATGGATCCAGAGTCAAGAACAAGATTCACATTATCTCATGGTAGCAATTCACCTGCAGAGTAGGTTACATTTAGTAGAATTGGCCCCCTCCCCCTCCCACGTTGGATGACTACCTTTGATTGGTTGGTACGTGATTCATGGTTTTGCTCGAGGGAACGTCCAATAGTGTTTTGGTTTCGGCGGTAGCGTGTGTGAATTAATTTTAATAGAACACGAAATCTAGCATAGAGCGCGTGAAGGGTCCAGGAAATGAGGGAGATTACACCGGTTACTTGTTATGACGCAACAACGCAGGCCATATGGAAGTAGTTGCATAGGTTGGCGATTAATCTTGCTTTCTAGCCGCTTTATCATCTTCGATAATACCAGTTCATAGTATTCATATGGGCCGTAGCGCCTACGAACTATGCTAGCATATGATCACTTACTCTTCCAGGAAACTTATTTCTAGACTTGAAAGGCAGGGGGACCCATTGTTCTTCTGGTTGCCATTTTTGGCTATGGTTGTAGCCATTTTCATAAGCTCCATTATTAATTTGCTAAGAAATCTTTGATTTATGGAGGCCCTTATTCCGTTTCTGTTTCCATGGAGGTTTCAGTAAACGGGCCTTTTATATCTTCGGGATCATCTTCATAACCTATCACTTGTAGCAGTAGTCGTATAAATCTTCCTTTCTTATCCATAAATTGCTGGAGAGATGGTTAGGGTTGGCTTGGTTCTGCTATCTGTATAGATCACATAACATACATTACTTATTAAATTACACTGAGTGGCCCAAACCTTTCTGCGATGTTCAGAATTGCTAACCGTATATATGAGACCTAGGTTGTTCTAGTGTAAATTGGGTTTGTGATGGCTTACGATCTTGATCATAGGTTTGCCGCCGGCGGATATTACGCAAGTCATCTTTCATATCTCCTCACAGTCGTTGGGAAGTTAAAACCGGTGGTCTTTTAGAAATTTCATCTGGAAGGCACGTATTTCGCTTAAAAGTACTACAGGTACTTATAAAGATATTGGATTGACCATCGACTTGCTTCGTCTCAGATTAATTGCTCATAGTTACGTCATGCAGATAAATTATTTTTAGCTGTAAGTAGTCAAATAACGCGCAGGTAAAGTCGCTGTTAGTTGCGGCCAGATGCGGCAATAAAATTTAAAACATAACCGCGGCCGGTTCTTGATTTTAGTTCTGAAAACCACCACCTTGCGACGTGGCTTGCTACTATTGGCAGTCAGTATTCCGTGTCGCTGTTAAATAGTTGTTTGTCTGCTGTATTTAAAACCTAAGGCCATGAGGCGCAAACTGATTTGAATAGTAATTTTTTGAATTGCCCCTAATACTTTCGACAGTAGCATTAATCCTTAATCCTTTCAATGGGATTGTGATACTGGTTTTTATAAAAGCTTACAAATAGTTATCTAAATAAGATTTTTCTGTTTCGATAGATAATGTAGATTCAGGGGGTGCGCAATCACTGCTAAATCCGGAACATGATCGCAGCGATCTTGCGTCTCAAGGTGGTAGGTCACACTTGACTAGGGTTAAACCAGGTGTAGTTACTGTCCCATTTTTTAGATGACGAACTTTGCTTTCGAAGTCATTGGGTTCTTGATGCATTTTGGGTGATTTTATGTATAAAGATAAAGTTGCAACACTAAATTCATGGGTTTGTAGCGATGTGCGTTCTGCAAGCGAATATACATTTTACAAGACCTATACATCTATTTAAATAAACTAATATTTGTAAACTTTAATAAAAGCCAATGCCTATATCCCATTAAAACTTTTTTTGAAGAACTCCTACTACTATAAAAGGATTCAAACTTGGCCGGAACAGACAGCTTTAAGAAATATTCTGCTGTGCTTTGCTAGGCTATTTGCATAGCAGATAACTAAAGCTGTAATGTGCAGCGGACCACAGAGCTCTGTCAAAGCAGTACAGATATTTCAGTAGGTACACTGCTAATCATTTGTATCTGCTGGGAAAATAAAGCAATGAGCTCTTGCTTTTGATCCAAGATGCGACCTAAGGCTAATGCTTAGTGAAGGCAAAGTGCTATCGAATTATTGACGTGTATGATGCCAGTTTCTGTAACCGTGACTAGTTTTGCTGTGCACTATTTACTGTGCCGTCAATTTATAGATAAATTTGAACAGTTTTGGGCCAGCAACAGCCGCCTGATGGAAAATTCCAGCATTAACCCCATAAAGTACTTGCCGATTCGCGTCTACAATGTAAGTTCTTCCACAAATCGCAAATTAACGCTACACAAAATTGAAACCACTTTATATAAATTCATTATAGAAGGATCAGACGTTTATCCAACGACTAATATCGACCAACAACGAAAACGGACAAATGAATACTGTGCTAGATATGCTTAGATCGTTTTTCCCGAATCGAGCCGATGCAAGTGTTGATGTGCTACGCGTATTCTGCCAGAGTGTGCACATTCCCCACTGCACGCCGCTGCTGTGGCTCTACGTAAACATGAGCTATCCGGACAACTTTCTACATCTATGTATATCAGAGCAATAGAACAGTGCTGAAACATCGTAGTCATCGACGAGCCGTGGTACTTCTCGAAAATAATGTTCTCGTACTTCAACCAAGTGATTTGGCACGCTTTCGATACTCATGCTCCAGACGCTGCGATAAAGCTGCGACGTATTTTTTAGGCCAGCCGACTTTTCTGCCGAAATCTTCTGCCAAAGACGTAACATCATCTTCCTAAGAACAAATTTTCAGTCATTTATCAATTTTGGGGCCATTTTTCATGTCTTCGCGCTACTTACCAGACGTCTTCCCATTCAATGTTTTCAAAAGTCCATACTTGACCAACTGCTACTCAGGTTTATGTGGTTAAGCTTTTGCTTTTCATTTAAAAATTTTTATTAAAATAACTTCTCACTCCGAAAGTACAGCGCTAAATACACAAGCAGATCAAGAACTACACTTCGATCATATGCATGCGAGTTCATTCGTCGAGCCAAGTGTTACGTTACAGCAAAATGCCGTAGCATTAACTTTCTTGTCGTCCCAAGTCGTATAATGTATGTTCACAACATACATGCATTTAGAAATAAGGCTACATACTACAGCGACAAAAGAGAATGTTACCTGAAATGGAAGTCTGTGCATTGTGACCCGACAGTGAACACGATCCCTCTCCACCTAATACTTGATATAATTATAATCAGACTTTCGATCCAGTGTCAACGAGGGTCTTCTTATGACTGTGCCATGAACTTCTGTTTTCTGTGATTTTTATCCTTGATACAACGAACTTCACCCAATCCTGCTATCCGCCTGATGGTCTTCCTACGAACCGTTTTCTTTCTCTTGCAATCCAGTCAAATGTCTCTCGTCTAGCGATGGTCGTTTCTTCTTGCAGCGTGCTGTATCCATTGTAATTTAAACTTGTTCATTCGTGCAATGCCATTGCAAACTGTTGCTTGTCCTTTTGCCCATTTATTTGTTTTCCTGTTTTTCTTTTAATTTCAAACATACACCTTACCATGCATTGTGGCGTGGTCTCAAGTTTTTGAACAGCTTTTAGGCTTAGGGTCAGTTTCGCATTTGCGGGATAGCACCAGACGACACGCTGATCAAAAACTTTCAATTTCAAGGACAGTTTTCCCGATAAGGATATTTTTATGCTTCCAAAACTGGTCTATGAAACTTCTACTCTTCTGCCTATTTCATCTTCATCTTCATCTTCATCTTCCATCGCCGCTTCTCCTTTCGGGTCGCGGAGGCAGACGCGT